TTTTTATTATTTAATTAAAATAAAAGGAATGAAAATGTTATATTTTCTAATAATACATATTATGTTTAGATATACTTGTATAATATTAATCAAAATTCATGGTCCAATATTGTAAGTTATATAATCATCATAACAATATTTTCAACTAAAAGATATTAATAAATATTAGTTATATTAGAAAACAGTTGGTGATGTATCTTCTACACGAGATGGGTTTTCTTCAGTATTAAGTAAATTAATTATTATTGTAATTATTTTAATCAAATATATTTTTTCAATATATATAATATTTATTTATTTTTAGCACCTGATGGAAGGATAATTGTGTATGGTGGCACTAAACAATCAGACAAATTAGCAATATTAGATGTAACAAAATCTCCTTTCCAATGGACAGTTCCAACAAACATTACTAATTATCCTTATAATCTAATTGATAAAGCACATAGATTCCATACTTCAAATTTATATAAAAATTACATGATAATCTCATTTGGTAACTTATGATAATAATCTTTGAAATTCATACATAAGTATATTCACTTGTTTATATTAATTTTATTTATATTTAATAATAATAATAGGTTACATTTTCAATGTCGGTAGTTATCAAAATATCTTATTATTAGATATTAGTGACAAATATAATTACAAATGGTTGGACAAGTTTGATCCTTTAACTAAAATCATTACTAGCACTGTTAGTGAACCAACCACCACCAGTACTAATCCTTCAATAGCTACAACCACCACCAGTGCTAATCCTTCAATAGATACAACTACCACCAATGCAGCTGCTGATAAACAAATCACTGGTATAATTATTGGATCAGTTACATCTGGTGCAATCTTCATCATTGTTTTTATTGCTATTCTTATTTTATATGGAAGAAAAATGAAACCCAATAATGCTGTTAGTGATGATGAAAAAGAAAGAGAATTAAATCAACAAACTCATAAAGAAAATGAAAACAAAAATGAATTTACTAGTAATATTGAAATCATTTCAAACACTGATAATAACTACAAATATACCAATAGTGATAGTAATACTGAAGCTGTAGTAGATACTAGTCATAAAGACATCATTGATGATAATAATAATATTAAATTTTGAAAAATAATAATAGTAATAATAATAGTGATAATGATAATGTTCTGAATGACCAGTTAATTACAATTAATGACAACAACAATCAGATTTCTATATCCAATTCCAAGAGCTCTAAAATAATTACTCATAAAGTAATTCTTCCATCTGGTGAAAAAGTCAATAAAATTTATCTATTAAATGATAATTAAATTTTTGAATGCAAATTTGTAAATTTATAAATTAGCATAATACCACTTACAATCTCTGATTCACAACTTGATTTCCACATTTGATTAATTATTGAAAAATTTTTTTTTTATTATATTAATATTAAAAATCATTTATTTCTTTACTAATATATATACTTTCATAAATTTTAGAAATTTTCAATATATAAATAAGTATGAATACTGTGAACAATTTAATACTGAATTATTATTTATATTTATCAACTTTAAAAATAAAACTTTATCCAATATAAATAAATCATTTTGGATTGTCTTGTGTTTTTCTTATTTTTGTCATTAATCTATGCTATTCTAAAATTCTTCACAGTAAAAATGAATAAGCAAAAGCTTTATATTTAAAGATTATCATCGCCTATAATAATAATAAAACAAAGGAGGGTTACAGAAACAAGTAACAATAAAACCTTATGTATGTAATGTACTAGTGAGTATAAACCCCCCATAAAACACTTGGCAAATAGTTTTAATATATATTTTACTTTTAGAAGCACAGTGATTCAACTGGCTCTCTGAATGTTTTGAATGTTTCTCAGAAAGTGGGGCAAACAAGAAGGTGGTGTACTAGCAGTTTATCATGATGTTTGTCCACTATAGGTCAAATAAAAGAAAAAATTCCCCTTAAAAAGCATGCTTTGAACAAATTAACGGATTTGAATGAGCATATTTCTAGATTGATTTTCAAACTGCACTTAAAAAATCGGATCAGAACCATTTTCCCAAAGTTAAAAAGTATCTGTTTTATTGGTGGTGTTAAGTAAAATCAGTTATTACAAGTACTGCAGAAAAATATAGCTAACTAGATGATTATAAATAATTCTTGTCATTATTTTTTGTTACTATTATATGATATATATCATCAATATATAATTATCAAATTGTCAAAATAGGCACTGCTCACAACAATTATAATGGTTATTGTCAATTGTTTTGTTTAATCTTTTATTTTTGATATAATGAGATTGATTTCTTCTTAAATTTGCTAAATAAAGTTAATATCAAAAACCTCTATTTCAGTTTTTTTTTAAAAATATTTTAGATATTCTGTTTTTAAGTAACAATTTAAAATTTCTAATGAAGTTTATCACGCACAGAGAAAGATTTTAAATAGTAAAATAACATTCTATGAAGTCATTATTTATTGCGAACTACTATTTAATAGGAGATTTTAATTTGCTAAGAAACTTTGAGCAATCCTCATTTCAAGTAACAAGAATGGCGGTAGCAATAAATCCAATATTGATTTTTCTATATAATGGTGCATAGTTGGAGATAATAACCAAACAAACACTTGCTTTACTGCATGTAAAAATTTTAATTGCACACCTGGTATAGGTTTATTTTTAATATTTGGAGAAATAGCAAAAATTTACTTTTTAATTAATTAATTAACTTAAAGATTTAACATTTGCCGTGTCACGATCTCCTTCCAAAACTCGCAAGTCGTGCGACTTCCGTGCAGTTTTCTCGCCGATTGTCTCCTTTTGCGTCTAGCCGCGCCTGGTCTTTTCGGTTTTTGGCGCGATCAACGTTTTCGCCATATTTAGCAAAAATTGTGTCGTACGGCAAATGTTTTATTTTATAAAACAGGTTGCAATTGCGTTGAATTGAATTGCAAAGCAATGCGTTGCAATTGCAATTGAAACCGAAAAATCTTTGTTTTTTAAACCTAATTTTTTGTTGGAAGGAATTTTTTGCTTTCGCTGGGTGGCAATTTCAGAAAAAACTTTTTTTTTTTTTATTTTTCTGAAAAAAATTTTGATCTATGCAATTTTTATTGCGAAAAAAAAAAAAATACAAAGAATAAATAAAAATTATTCAGTGTCACAACTCTCATCGCCGTCATCATTTACCACCGTTTCATTCTCATTCTCATTATTAATCATTCTCATTATTAATTATTATCGTTGTACGAATTTTCTACTGCATCCGTATAACATTTATTGTTGCTGACAACTTCCTTCATTGTATGTGTCAGTTTCATTGCTCTTGATGTGCTTTATTCTTCCTGTGGGTCATGATCTGCACTTATTCTTTTTTTAATCGACTCCCCGATGTGATTTGTGGTCTTTCTCTTGCTGTTGGAACTCATGAATTGTTCCTCAAAATCCAGATGTTTGGATTTTAATGCTTTGCGTGAGGATTCTCATCATTGTTGTTGTTGGTCTTTTCAACCCTCGGGTAAGTCCACTCGATTTCGCTTTATCAATTATTCAAATAATTATATAGGCGGGCTTGGTAGAAGTAAGTGTTAAGTCAATATCTATTTGCAAATCAAGTTTCCAAAATGGACGTTTATTATTATAGGTGGGTTTGATCAAAGTAAGTCCTAAGTCAAGATCTATGAAGCTGTTTGTAAAATATATTTAATTAACGTTTTATTATTATCAATTATTCAATAACTATATAGGCGAGTTTGATCGGTCAAGATCTATATAATTAGATTGTTAATAGTTAATAATGGAATTTTATTACATGCAAAAAAAATTGTTTTGAGTTGTAAATTTTGTTTTATTAAATAAATTTGTTTGATTTTTCATACATCGTTCATGTTTCCTCTTGATTGTATATCTTAAATTGGTCACATTCACAATAATTTGACATTCGTTATATTAAGATTATTTTGATTATATCGAGAGATATGGCCAAGAGAAGAGTTAGGAAGAGAGTTATTCTTCAACCAAGTAGAAAACCAACCCTTAAATACATTTTCGAGTAGTACGATTTAATTTATTAGACTATTTCAAAAGTTTTGTCACATGGTTGCTTCCAGCTTCTTAAATTCGAGCCATTTGTTAATGAAACAATTGTTCGTGAAGTGATTGTTGACAAAATGAATCAAACCCACATTAAGTGTTTTATTTTTAAATTCACGATTTTAATTGGTCAATCAATCAACACGGTCTCTCCTGTAACAACGTTGTATAATAATAACGAACAATTATGTGGCCGAATGTAGAAGGTTGAGTTCCGTGCGCTGAAATAGCCTGAGAGGAATTTCTCTACGAAAAAATAACAAAAAAAAAAGCTTGGACGGCTGTCCTATTTATATGTTTTGAATTTAATAAAATAGACTATTGCCTTGGCCCGAGTGATGTCATTTTTTTGCTCTTTGCGACGAAGAAGACGCAAAACCCAACTTAATTGAATTTTTATTCTCGTGTAGCACGGTATGTGTTTTGTAACACGAAAAGCAAAAGGCTCACATTGCGTTCTCAGTTATAAACTAGTAATTTGAATAAAAACAAATAAATTTTTTAATCCGCAGTAAAACAATAGGTAAATCGTGTGACTAATTTTAATCGTCTAAATTTTAGTGTTTTATTTTCATTGCACGTTTCATAATAACTTTTGGAAGTTAGCAATATCATTAACTAGCATGCTTTAATTCCATGTCTGACCTTTATCCCATGATCCCATGAAGATTAACATCAGACAAGCTCGTAGGATGGAGTTGGCTCAATAGATATTCCCTACCTATCACAATACTTATTTTCTGCATTTCCAACTACAGAAATTGCCTACTTGTAATTATTGATCAGCTGTTGTGATTTTCTTTTTTTTGACCTTCCTCCGTATCATTATTATCTTTCCAAATCATACTCTATATTTTGTCTAGCGTCTATTTTTGGACACGAATGAAAAAGGAATGTGAAAAGTCATCATTGTGTTGAATCAAAAGAAGTGAAAATGGCTATGGTTCTCAAAGTTTTGAGAAATAACTTATAATCAAAAATGCATATTTCAAATTCACCGCCCAAAAAAAAAATCATCAGATAACTTTTATTAAAATGGAATAAAAAACATAAATCCATTTATCCGTATTATCTAATTCATTAAATACAGATTCAAGTATTCGTTCACCTATGAGACTTATATTTTCGAACTTTATATCTGCCAAATATCCTGTCGGGCCTTTTCTGTAAATATCCATACAATCAATTAAAATATAACATTTTGACTAATGATTAAATAATAAACATTTTTATTTTTATATTTTTATTTTAGCGATATCATCATAATATAATGTTATATTTATTGATTATTGATTATTGCTGAAAATATTATTTTGTTGAATTCTATATTTAAAAAAAGTTATTATTGCTTTACACATAAAATAGCTGATCTGGGAAATGAGCTACCATTGGTCTAATATTATTTTATAGGTAATTATTAAAAAATGAATTTCTGTTATCATTTTAACAATCATTCAAACCTAAGCTTCAATTCTTATTGTCCTATGGATCTTACAGTTTCTGTTGCTGTTTGAGAATAATGGTTTTAAACTGTTGCATCAAAATTCAGTATTATATGGTAATACAATTACCCAAATATCTTAAAACTTATGGAAATAGTGTATTCAATTCAATTCCTTTTCTAGTGTAGATTGTGGAAGGTTTAGTAAACGAAACGTTATTAAAATAGATTTTAATTTATATAATGTAATTAATAATGATAATTGCATTTATTAATGATAGTTGGTTAGAAGTTAACGTATTATGTTATGTTTTATGGGCAGTCATGTTTCGTTGATATATGAATTAAAATTATAATTGCCGTTCATTCAAGCTTAAAACAAAACTAGTTACAATATCTTTCCCATATAATCAATTTGCAATTAATAGCTTCACACGATTGTTCCCATTAATTAAGAAACTGAAATACGAGATGAGTTTGATAATTATAATACCTCAAGCCAGTAGGGCCACGGAATTAGCAGCAAAACTAATAAAAATTATATAATTTATTTTTTTTAATTAACTATGAAAAACTTCTCAACCTTAAATTGAATTTCAAATAAAAGATTTGGAAATAATCATTCTAAAAAGAAAATAATAAAAACAAAAAGAAAAATGTGAAATTATAAAGTATACATGTAGCTAAGTTTTGATGCATGTAACTCCTTATCATTCTATAAAAATTTGTGTAATTTTTTATATTAATAAAGTATTAACAAAGTAGATCTTCAGGTAAAAAACACGGCTAAATTTTAATAATATTAATATCCCGGTAAATTTCTAACGTTGATTGGCGGACCACCACTTAAGGATTAACGAATAAATAAGTTATTAAAATATTTTTTTGAACTTTTTGTAAAATTTGGGTGTTGAATTGAAAACAAAAATAATTGATTTGTTGTATATAGAAAATGTGGATTTTTTATAACTATATTAATATAATAAAAAATCTATCTATATGGCTATTTGGTTTATATAATTCCGATAAAATTTTATTTCGAAAATTTATTAATTTTATTAAATACTTGGCAAAAATATATAAAAGAAAATTTTTATTTGAAAATGTTTTTTTGGGATGAACTTTGAGCCGAGGAAATATTAGCCGAAAAAAATAATTTACATTAACAGAATATACATGTGTAAATAAAATTTCTAATCTTCACCTACAGTTCATTTTCTATAATGAACAAGTCACATGTAGGAATGGATGGTTGAGTGGATTGTATTTAAGGCTCCGAACGAATCGATTCGAATCGAATCGAATTTTAGAGTGATTTGATTCGATTCGATTTGATTCGTGACTCAATTCGAATTAATTCGATTCCTAAATTTTTCCTAATGTCATGTTAAATACAATGAACTTCAATGTAGTGTATCTCAATCTAATGGAAAATAGCATATTGAGTTTAATAATAATAATTATTATTATTATAAAATTCTTCTCAATATAACCGATTTCTTGATATAATCACAACGTATAGACGGGACAGATAATAATAAGAAAAATTTTATATGTTTTTATATGTGAAGCAAAATTTTTAATTATTATTATAGTCCGTTGTGACAAGGTTTGAATATAATAGCAACAAATTTTTGGAAAAAAATTATTAATTACCCAAACTATCTGCTAAACCAAGATTGTGTATATTTAAATTTTAATTGATAAAGATATTATTTAGTGATAGTAGCCGAAACTGTTTTTGAAAAAAGGTAGTTTCGTCCAATAAGTATCTAAATCAATCTACTTTATTTTAAAAACTCCCAATTTCAGCCATTAAAATTAGTTTC